TATCTTGTCCCCAGAGGCAGGGGCTGGGAGCCATTTTCTCTAGCTGAAGGTCAGAGCTTGACCACATTTCTGCTACACACTTTGTGATGTCTGCTCACAGGTGACAGTTAATGCTGGTCAGCAAGATGACCACGGGGCTGTGCCTCAATGGTGGCAGCACGAGTTGGTGGCACCCTTCCTGTAGCCCTGCCCCTAATTCCTTACTGTGATATGAAGTTAAACAGATATTGTGTTACTTATGTTCTCTTCCTCCTTCCGTTCTTTTACTACCTGTCTTATGCTATAGAACTCCTCATAAGGAAGACCCTGTTGACCTGCTGGGTCATGTGGATTATCTCTTAGCTTCTGAGTCCCCCAGGAAATGTGCAGTTCTGTGCTGAGGGGACCAGCTCTGCCTGCAGGTCCCTAGTGGGATGACAGTCGAAGTGTTCAAACAGACACATAGTTCAGTGTCATTGGTTTAACTTTGTCTTTGCAGATTTCACTTTACCTTGTTAATTGTGGATTTAAAAAAAATTATTTTATGAGTGCTCAATCTCCATGTACACCTTCATGCCAGAAGAGGGCACCACATCCCAGGGTAGATAATTGTGAGCCACAATGTATTTGCTGGGAATTGAACTCAGGACCTCTGGAAGAACAAACAAAGCTCTTTATCTCTGAGCCATCTCTCCAGTCCCTTAATTGTGAAAATTTTTAAATCTTCTGCACAGATCGCCCAAAGGCACATGTGACTCATCACCCCAGACCTCAAGGTGACATCACCCTGAGGTGCTGGGCCCTGGGCTTCTACCCTGCTGACATCTCCCTGACCTGGCAGTTGGATGGGGAGGACCTGACCCAGGACATGGAGCTTATTGAGACCAGGCCTGCAGGGGATGGAACCTTCCAGAAGTGGGCAGCTGTGGTGGTGCCTCCTGGGAAGGAGCAGCATTACACGTGCCATGTGCAGCATGAGGGTCTGCCTGAGCCCCTCACCCTGAGATGGGGTAAGGAGGCTGTGGGTGCAGAGCTGGGGTCAGGAGAGCTGGAGCCTTGTGCAGACCCTGAGCAGATCAGGGCTGAGAGCTGGAGTCATGAAACTCACCTTCCCTTCCTGCCCTTCTCTTCCCAGAGCCTCCTCAGCCCACTGTCTCCATCCTAGCAGTCGTTGCTGTTGTTGCTGTTCTGGTTGTCCTTGGAGCTGTGGTCATCATTGGAGCTGTGGTGGCTGTTGTGAGGAAGAGGAGGAGAAACACAGGTAGGAGAGGGCAGGGTCTGGGTTTTCTCTCAGCACTTTTAGAATTGTGCTCTGCTCACCAATGGAAACACATCCACACCCTCATTGCTACTGTCTCTAACTGGGTCTGCTGTCAGTTCTGGAAACTTCTAGGGCTGGGGACTTCCCTGGTCTCTCACAGCCTTTCTTCTCACAGGTGGAAGAGGAGAGGATACTATGCTCCAGCTCCAGGTAAGTGTGGGGGTAGGATTGTCCCTGAGGCCCTTGGGGTGAATCTGGAGATGATGGAAACTCAGCCAAACCTAATAGCCCATTTAGCAAAATCTTGGTGCTGTATTTGTACCTTGTAATGAAATCTATCTATCTTCCTTCCTTCCTTCCTTCTTTCCTTTCTTTCTTTGCTTTCTTTCTTTCTTTTTTTCTCTTTTTTTTCCTTCTTTCTTTTGTCCCTATAACTCTGATGTGTCCCTCCCAGATTGTTAAGGTGACACTCTGGGATCTGATTTGCAGAGGGGCAAGGTGGACATGACTGAGAATCAGGGATTTCTGGACTCTCCTTTGAGTGAGGGGTAGTTTGTTGGATGTTGTCTTCATACTGACTGTTCATGACTCTCTTTCTCTAGCATGAAGATATCTGCCTGGAGGGAACTGTGACAGATAATGTGTTCAGGTCTCTCCTGTGACATCCAGAACCCTCAGTTCTCTTTAGGCAACAATGTCTGATGTTCCCTGTGATCCTATGGGCAGTGTGAAGAACTGGACAGCCCAGCTCACCACGCCACCACCCTCTCCCTGCTCTGCCCTGTGTTCCCTTCCACAGCCAACCTTCCTGGTCCAGACAGGCAGGAGGGGACATCTCCATCCTGTCAGCTCCCTGCTGCCCTGAGCTGCAGCTCCTCACTTCCCCACTGAAAGTGAGAATCTGAATGTGAACTTGATTGTTCATGTCCTTGATCTGACAGGTTGATTGGCAGGAAAAGAAAAGAATTGAGAATATTAGAGTTTTATAGAGTAAATAAATGGCAAATGTTGAACCTTCCAGAATCTGTCATTGTGCTGTTGGACCTGGTGGGACAGGATGAGGCTGTGGGAGCTGAGTGTGAACAGGGCTGTGTCCAGGTGGAGCTCAGTCCATTGTCATCTTTGACCTGGTACTCCTCAGCTCCTGACTCTCTGTTCCCTTCATCCCTGTGAACCACATGCTGAGATCTGTGATCACAGGACACAGGGATGGCCAGAGCCTTGTCCTGTCCCAGGATTACAAGCCCCAGGGCTGCTGTACTGGCTGGGACTCTTCATGTTGTCTTCTGTGATTATTTATTTTAGTGTTTTTAGTTTGTATGGAGGACTAGGCCTGTTCTTGTTCCTGTGAGTGGTGTCTGTCTATTGTCCTTTGAGATGCTCAAGTGTGACAGCAGTAGGAGGTGTTTTTCCTGTTCTTGTCTCCACCAGACAGCACAAGGCCCCTTTTCTCAGGGGACTGTGGGCTGAGGAGATGAGCTTCAGTCTCCTGAACTCCTGCTTCCTTCCAGGTACCTCCCTGGAGGTTCTCTCCATCTTTCCCATCTCTCAGCATCTAACCCCAGATTGTAGGATCCACAGAGAGGAGGGATCCACAGGGTCTCGCTCAGCTCAGATCTGGTCCTGTTGGATCTGTGTTCTGCCTGATGCCCCCTCCTTCCCTGGCTCTGGGAATCCATGTGCTATGGTGCTCATTTTAAAACTTCCTTTATTTGGGGTATTTAAGCCTCTCCCTCCTTTCCACCAACACCCTAAAACTAGGTAGGAGAGAGAAGGTTAGTGGGGAGAGGGGGTCTCCATGGAGCAGGATGGACCAAGAGAATTCCCCCTGAGGACAGACAGCCACAGAAGAAACAGCCCTGGCAGGACTAATTGGCAAGTCACATTGAGCACCTGGCTGGGAAATAGCAAAGTAGCACAGACAGTTAATATCTGCCCAGCTCTACTGCTTCAAAGCTTGTTAAATAAAGCTAAGAGGTCTCTGTCTCATTTATAGACAGGAGAGAAACACCCTGTCTCCTTTCAATTCATTTCTGCACAACGTGGAAATTCTGCTAAGAGAACTTTCACACACTGAAGCAAGCAGCAGAGGAAGACACTAAAGAATGGGAAGACCTGCCATGCTCACTCACAGACTGAGAGAATTAACATTAGGAATGGCGGGTCCACCAAAAGCAATCTACAGATCTAAAGCAACCAATAAAAATTTCAATGCTGCTTTTCATGGATACAAGGGAAAAATTAAAATTCATATGTAGCAGAAAGACCCTAGACAGTAGAGCAATCCTGAGCACTGGGATTGTGCTGGAGCATGGGGGCACAGCTTTAGTCCTAGCAGTGAGGAGGCAGAGGCAGGTGGATCTCTGTGAGTCCAAGGTCAGTCTGGTCTACACAGTGAATTCCAGGCCAGCCAGGATTACACAGTGAGACCCTGCCCAGCATTGTGTTCTAGTTTAATTAAATAAATCCCAGTCTCTGTATGGTAATTTGGAGAAACAGCTGGTTTAGGAATAACTGCTAATTAACTAAAAGATAAATCAATAATAAATAATAATACTCAACAACAAATGGTACCCAACTAATCTAGGTATCCACACCCTTTAAATCCTACTTTAACATAATTTGGTGGGGGAAAATAAGCTCCCAGTAAAACCTAAAAACTCCCAGGTCAATTACTGTCTCTTTAAGAGACTCTTAAACAGGCCCAAGAGGAAAATGCAGCCTACCATGGGCAGACCTGAGACTTCCATAACAAAACTGGCTGCAGCCACAGTCTAACAGGATGGGAGAAACAGTAAAACAGACTTCCTGGAGCTTGGCTGATAGACTCTTCTACAGTTTTAAGACAGAAGTAAAGGAAAGTTTAGAAGTTATGACTATGGTTACATTCATAGTTCTCAATATAACTTTAATCATTGGATTCACCTTTTATGTCTTCTGAAAGGCAAAGGCTTTGGAAAAGATTCTGGAACACAGCAAAGAACAAGTAAAACAATATAAAGAAAAAAATGAAGGTTGGAAACAGGACATAAAACAAGAGATACAAAAACTTGCAGAACAGAATAAACAACAGGAGGAAGGGCAGAGGTTTTAGAAAAGATACTGGAACAACACAAAGAACAACTAGAACAATATAAAGAAAAAATAAAGTTGGAAGCGAAGCATAAAACAAAAGATTCAAGAGATTCTTGAACAAAACAAACAACCGAGAGATAGGTGTGAAATATGGGTACAGACCTTAAGAGAGAGTTTAGAATACTAAGTGAAGAAAATACTCAGGCAGAGACAAAAGATAAAAATAAAGAAAGCCAACCAAGGATGGTTAGAAAACAAACATTAGCTCATCCAGTCAGTATACAGCAGAGACCAGCAGCTGATGGTAATCCACTGGATTATCATGAAGCTGAATGATGCCCTGAGGAAGTGCTAGATCTGAGGAAATTCAGGGAAAGTCTCACTCACTTTGGAATGCATTCACCATGTGTAAAACAAATGCTGACTCCCTGGTCAGTCAGAAGTAGAGTAATTCCCAAGGACTGGGAGGATATGGCAAAGGCAATATTAGAACCTGGGCCATATTTACAGTGGCTTTCATGGTGGAGAGGAAATGCTAGAGAGACAGCACACAAAAATAGAGCCAGAGGTGCTGGTGTTTCCAAGGAACAGCTGCTTGGTGATGGCCAGTATGCTGACACAGAGATACAAGCTCTATATAATGAAGAAACCTTAGCATTATGTCGCCTAGCAGCCTTAAATGCCTGGGACAAGGTTGAGGAATCAGGAAAAAGGTTTGAGCCATTCTCCCAGGTCATAGAAGGTCCAAGTGAAACATTCACTAACTTTTCGCAAAGATTGACCTCAGCTGTGGATAGAAGTATATCAGATCCACTAGCTAGAGAAGCACTAATAGCATCTTTAGCTTTTGAAAATGCTAATACTGAACACAAAGAGGCAATAAGGCCATTAAGAGCAAGATCTGTTCCAATAGACGAATGGATTAGAAAGTGACATCAGACCTCATTCACCCAATGTGACCTTGATAGGAGAAGCTACCCCTAAAGACCTTGGGCAATGTCTTAATTGTGATGGGCAAGGTTGCTACCCAAGGGAGTACAAGGAAAACCAAAATCATTCAAAAAGGGAGCCTGTGCTTCCTAGACTCTGCAGAAGATGTGACATTGGCTTAGTGAAGGTAGAGCAGTCACAGACAAATGGGGTAGCCATCTTCACATGCTCCCTCCGCCCCTTTCCCAAGCTGCTTTTCCATGCTTTCTTCTGACTATTTCCAAGCTCTCTCTTCCTGATTTCTATACACTCTACTCTTATATTTTAAAATGCTTTAAATTCCTTATCTAATGCTTTATATAATTTATATAATTTTATCATTGGGTTTGCATTTATAAGTCTTAACCATAATTAACTGTTTATCTTATCTTTTAGACTAGGCCAAAACGAGTCTCATTTCAAGTTGGTATGGATTCTTATAAAAATTCAAAGTTGCATTTTACTATCTTATGATTCAACCCTGCTTCAAAATAAATTTTATATAATAATAAAATTTCAGTTATAAATATCTATTCAGATTAAGTTGGTTTAAAATATAAGACTGTTACTGTCTCCTACTATGTGTTGCTCAAATATAATGTTAAAATTGCTTTATACTGTTCTGCTCAGGGGTTCGTTATTACGTACAAGTTATTTACCAATATTCTAAATTAAGCTTTATTAATTTTACAGGTATTTATCTACGTTAAAACTGGATCAATTTACTACATCTCTACTATCAAAAGGTTAAAATATACTTGGTTAATTTTAAATTTGGTTTCTATGGTCCTGCTAAATTGTTGGTCTTACACTTCTAGCTCAAGGGTTCATTATTATGTACAAATTGTTTGCCAATATTCTAAATTAAGATCTATTAATTTTTAAAAATATATTTACATTAAAACTGGGCCAACTTACTATATCTCTACTATCAAAAGGTTAATATAAGCTTGGTCTTGTTCTCTTGAAATGATGTTATTAATCTGTAGTATAGCCTTAGACTATTATAAGCTATAAACTTTTATATATTAAATCAGACAAAAACTCTCATGCTCTCACTTTAATAAATTATATTCATGACTTTTAAGGTTCTAACTTAGCAAGGACAAAACCTAAAGCCTGGTTGATATTTGCTGGTTAACAAATGCAGGTTAATAATAATTTCATAGAGATTTATAGTCCCACAGATGCAAACATGGTCTCACTGCAATTTTTAATAAACAGCTGAGGATGGTCCTTGAGTCTCCATGTAGGAGTTGGTAAAAATAGAGCCATCCCGAAGGGCTCTAAACCTAGACCTAGCTGCGTTCAGAAGCTGCTGGTGTTCCCGCAAGTTTGCATAGTCAAAAGCCCGCTCTGCCAGATGATGTGTTCAAATGCAGCCAAAGTGGATGCTGGTCCTGCTGCTGCAACATGCCAAAGCTGGCTGCTGGCAAACTGGCCTCTGGAAGTCAAAATGCTCCCAAGAAGGCTTGTCCTCTGTGCCCAGCCATGGAGGTTCAACCAGCACAAGAGCTACAGACACTTCCAGCCTTCTAGCTCGTTGGCCTGGCAGAGGACGAATGGCTCCTTGACACAGCAACCTCCACAGCTCTCACACAGGTCTGTTTTTGACCTCAGAATGAGGTCCCACTGACATATTGCCAACTTCTGTGTTGGGAGACTTCAGGTGCCTTCCCAGCTCTCTTCATATGCAGGAGACCAGGCCTTAAGCCTAAGTCCTAGTGCTGCTGTTTTCAGGCCTAGACACAGTCCAGACTCAAGAAACAGGCCTAAATGAAACCTTTTACCATCCCTTTAGCCAAAGGACAATAAATGTTCATAGTAGTCTCAACCATGTCTCATGGTAAATAACTAAATACAAAGGTCCCTCTCAAAAGACATATGTGAGAGATGTCTTAAGGTTATTAAATACAAGTTATACATGTTGAAGAGTCTTAAAAAATGTTTTAAGGTTGGTAAATGCAAGTTATA